CACAATCACAGACACACACACACACACATATAAATGTGTGTATGTGTGTGTAACCAAAACATACAACTCGCAAATGCCTTACAACACCCCATCCCTCCCGCAGAAGCGCCTCCACCTTCCTCGAGATCGCGGAGGGCGCTGGAAAGGCCCCAGACTACAGGAACATCGTCGTCGACCCTCAAGCCCCCTCAAGCCCCTCCCCTTCAAGCCGAAGCTCCGCCCCTTCATGCGCGCGCAGTCCCCTTGGCTCCGCCCCCTCCTCCTTCGCCGCCTCCAGGAGCCTTCAGGAAAGACCGAATTCTCCGGGTTTTGTGGATGACCCGGATGTGCCTCCTTTAGAATGAGGGAAATGGGGGAAAATAGTGATAAGACGCGAACTAAGAATGGTGATGATAATGGGTGTGAATGGGATGAGAGGGGAGAAGAATGAGAAGAAGAAGGGGAAGAGGGGAAGGAGGAGAGGAAGAGGGAAGAGGAGGAGTAAGTAGAGAATGAGGAGAGGAGGAGTAAGAAGTGGAAGAGGAGAGGAAGAAGGAAGAATAGGATATGGGAAAATGGAAGGCTCAAGAAGAAAATTAGGAATAACATACGAATGGAGAAGAGGAGGAGGTCCAAGAAGATGAGGAAGAGGGACAGAGAGGAGGAAGATAAAGATATGCATGGAAGAGGAGGAAGAGGAAAGAAAAGAAGAGAACAGGAAGAACGGTAGAAGGAAGTAAAAGCAAGAGAAGACGAGAAGAGTAGAAGGAGAAAAAGAAAGAGGAATAAGTAGAAGAGGAGAGGGAGAGCAGAGAGAAATGAGGTGGAAGAAGAAAAATAAGGGAGGGGAGACGAAGAAAGGAAGAGGAAATAAAAAGGAGAAATAAATAGAGGGGGAAGAGGAGGAGGAAGGTATCGCTATCACCCCTGCGTAAGGTTATCACAGACAAAGAGGGCGCGGACATAAATTAAAAGATAGACACTGCAAGATAATTTCATTAACATTATTTTCCCTCCAGTAAAAGCAAAACAAAATTAATCCTTATCTCTAACAATATCACCTACTTCATAAATTGATAAAAAAAAAAAAAAAATCTACAAATAACTCAAACAGAAAAAGCAATAACTTCATGACGGAAAAAAATATATAACCACGTAACCCCACAAAAAAAACAAAAACAAAAGACAAACAGAATCCAAACATACGAAGCGGTTCCAATCTCCTAATCGAGCGATGCTATTTTTAGATCGGCGAAGCGGGAGCGAAGCGAGGCTGCGGGAGAGAGAACAATAAGCGTGGAGATAGAGAGGGACAACGATAAAGAAATGGAATATAGAGACAGGTGTGATAAATATATGGAATATAGAGAAAGGTGTGATAAATAAATGGAATATAGAGGCAGGTGTGATAAATAAATGGAATATAGAGAAAGGTGTGATAAAGAAATGGAATATAGAGACAGGTGTGATAAATAAATGGAATATAGAGAAAGGTGTGATAAATAAATGGAATATAGAGAAAGGTGTGATAAATAAATGGAATATAGAGGCAGGTGTGATAAATAAATGGAATATAGAGACAGGTGTGATAAATAAATGGAATATAGAGACAGGTGTGATAATTGAATGGAATGCATAGATAAATAAATGTAATGAATAGACAGATGTGATAAATCAATGGAATATGTAGACAGGTGTGATAAATAAAGGGAAAATATTGACAGGTGTGATAAATAAATGGAATATATAGACAAGTGTAATAAATAAATGGAATGAATAGACAGGTGTGATAAATCAATGGAATATATAGACAAGTGTGATAAATAAATGGAATATATAGACAGGTGGGATAAATAAAGGGATAGTATAAACAGGTGCGATAAATAAATGGAATATGTAACCAGTTGCTATAAATAAATGGAATATATAGACAGATTCGATAAATGAATGAAATATATAGAACAATGCGATAAATAAATGGAATGAATAGAGAATACATTAAAAAACACCAACCAAAATACATGAAGCAATAAGGGAGTTGATAATAAATAAGAACGGTTAATCAATCTGTAAAATATAAACGAATTAAAAATAATTAAAAATGAGAGGGAATCCAATGAGAACATGACATATAAAAGGCGAATAAGATATTAAGTTTATACGCAAGGCCAGTTTACTGCACATGAATACTTTCTCTTTCTCTTTCAATTTATCTCGCTCCCTGTCGGTCTGTCTCTCTGCTTCTCTCTCTCTCTCTCTCTCTCTCTCTCTCTCTCTCTCTCTCTCTCTCTCTCTCTCTCTCTCTCTCTCTCTCTCTCTCTCTCTATATATATATATATATATATATATATATATATATATATATATATATATATATATATGTATATATACATATATGTTTATATATCTATATCTATATATCTATATATATATATATATATATATATATATATATATATATATATATATATATATATATATACATACATATAAGTTTATATATCTATATCTATATATCTATCTATATATATATATATATATATATATATATATATATATATATATATATATATATATGTCTATATATACATACATACATATATATAAATACATGAAGCAGCAAGGGAGTTGATAATGAATAAGAACGGTTAATCAGTCAGTAAAATATAAACGAATTAAAAATAATTAAAGATGAGAGGGAATTAAACGAGAACACGGCATATAAAAGGTGAATATGTATATATATACATATATATATATATATATATATATATATATATATATATATATATATATATATATATATATATATGTATATATATATATATATATATATATATATATATATATATATATATATATATATATATATATACACATACATACATATATATATATATATATATATATATATATATATATATATATATATATATATATATATATATATATATACATATATACATATATATATATATATATATATATATATATATATATATATATATATATATATATATATATATGTATATATATATATGCATATATATATATATATATATATATATATATATATATATATATATATATATATATATATATATATATATATATATATATATGTACATACATACATATGTATATACATATATATGTACATATGTATATATATATATATATATATATATATATATATATATATATATATATATATATATATATATATATATATGTATATACATACATATGTATATACATATATATGTGTGTGTGTGTGTGTGTGTCTGTGTGTCTGTGTGTGTGTGTGTGTTTATACCAATATATACATATATACATATATATACACTGCATGTACATCTTTCACACTGTTTTGACGTCTGCAAAACTGAACTTGAAAAATAATCTAACAACAAAATTAATTCAACGGCCTTTCCTCAGTTCATTAATCAAATTAATAAGAAAAGAATGAAGCACAATAAAAAAAATAAGATAAATAAAAAACAGAGGAATCGTAACCATACAACAAATCAGCGGATCTTTATTCAAACTAAGAAATTAAAGTTAGTTTATACTCCGGACGTGCAAAATCTCCTCAAGTTATGGCAACGAGCGAGGGGGAAACGTGCCTAGACAAGTTTATGTTCGGATATTATTTTACACGTATTTTTTTGGTCTTTTTTCCTGTAACTGTTCTTTTGTTTGTTTTGTTTTTGTTGTATTTCGTATTTTCCTGTAATTGTATTTTTTTAGGGTTAAGAGGGAAATAGGGAAAGAAAGAAAGAAAAATAAATAAAGAAAAGAGGGAAGGGGGGAAGGAAAGGAGGATTAGATGAAAGCGAGGAAGAAGAGAGAGGAGAGAAACAAAGAGATGAGGAACAAGACAAGGGGAAGAAGAAGAAGGGAAATGAGAACGATAAAGGAAGAAAAGGGTGGAAGCAAGGAGGAAGAGAGAGAAAAAAAGAGAAAGAGAAAGGGAAATGGAAAGAGGAAGGGAAAGAGAAAAAGAAAGAGGAAGAGAAAGAGAAAGAGAGAGAAAGAGAATGGAGCGGCAGAGAAATAAAAGGAAATAGAATATGAGAGAGATAGAAAGGGTCGTATATCTAAAGAGGAGAGATAATTTAAAAAATAGATAGATAGAGAAAAATATGAATAGAAAGAGAGACAGAGAGAGAAAGACAAAGAAGGAAAGAGAGAGAGAGAGAGAGAGTGAGAGAAAGAAAGAGAGAAAGAGAGAGACTAAGACAGAGACAGAGAAATACAGAAAGAAAGAGAGGAAAAGAGAGAAAGAGAGAGAGAGAAAATATAGAAAAACAGAAATGTAAAATGTTGTAAAGAGAACGTGGCAGTCTCGGGAATTACGCAATAAATTCCAGATAATGATGTCATTTGTATTCATTGTCACCTATATACCACTTGCTACCCAATAATGCTTCAACAAAAACAAAACCGAATGAAAAAAAAATAATAATAATAATAAAAAGTTATTTGAATGTCGTATCATTTACACCCTTTATCTATCTATCTATCTATCCATGATTATCTTTCTCAAATCTTTCTTTGTCTTGCCTTATTCCTGGAACAACATAAGACTTAATATTGTCGATGTCAATATAACTTTCTGGACTCCAATATTGAGCACGTATAGGCCATAAACTTGCTGTGTGTTTCAATAGGCTTGAATTATATTGCTTGATTAAACTTGGTAAGAAACTTTGTCTCTTTTGCTGTAAGGATAAATGAACTTCGCTTTTGTGTGTGTGTGCGCGTGAACAGACTTAAAATGGATTGTATTTTGTAGAAACCCATTGTACTGAAGGTCGGAAAATGCTTACTATTTTTCTTGTCTTTTTTCTACCACCCTGGATAACTGCACAGGCGTGGGCAAGCTGTGGTACATTTGATGCATGGTCATAACATTATATAATGGTATTATATTTGAATTTAAGGCTATAACGTTTATATTTGAATGTGGGTTTTTATCCCGTAGACTTTCTCGGAGTAATCATTTCGTGCACGCGTGGCTACATTCTCTCTTTCTCTGTCTGTTTGTTTGTTTGTCTGTCTGTCTCTCCCTCCCTCTCTCTCTCTCTCTCTCTCTCTCTCTCTCTCTCTCTCTCTCTCTCTCTCTCTCTCTCTCTCTCTCTCTCTCTCTCTCTCTCTCTCTCTCTCTCTCTCTCTCTCTCTCTCTCATTCTCTCTCTCTCTCTCTCTCTCTCTCTCTCCCCCTGTCTTTCTCTTTGTGTGTGTCTCTCTCTGTGTCTATCTATCTGTCTTTCTGTCAGTCTGTCTGTCTGTCCCTGTCTCTCTCCTTCTTTATCTCTCTCTCTTTATATATGTATATATATATATATATATATATATATATATATATATATATATATATATATATATATATATATATATATATATATATATATATATATGTATATATGTGTGTATATATGTATATATATATATATATATATATATATATATATATATATATATATATATATATATACATATATACATATATATATATATATATATATATATATATATATATATATATATATATATATATATATATATATATTTATATATATACACATATACATACATACATATATGTTTATGTATGTATATATACACTGTATTTAACTCCTAAAGTTAGTAAACATTAATCAGCGAACAAAGAAACCCAAGATGGCAATACCAGAGTATAGAATTTCTGTCTATAACATGTTTATAACAAAGTATATATAAACAATGAAGAGGGTTTTTTTTTATATATTCCTCTCCTCTTTTCTATTTTCTTTTCTTCCCTTATCTTCTCTTTTCTCTTTTCTTATCTGTTTTATCCGTAGTATATATTACAATTGTTAACTCAAATTCCTTCATAATTACATTTTCCCATATGTTATTTATCAATACGGA